TGTTGTTAAGCTGTTCACGTGCAGCAGCTGCAAACACTCATTTTATTCCTTCACGTTTTCAAGTTTCAAAGCAAAATATTTTTAGCAATGCACTGAAGAGCCTTGAAGCATCTATTAAAAAAAAAATAAAAAATACCGTGTCATGTGTTGCATACACATAGTTCTGACAGAGCTCCTCAAACAATCTGCATCAGGATTTCCAAGGCTGCCTCTAGTAACACCTCTGCACACTGGTTCCCACAAAGCTATCGGGTACAGAGTCATGGAATCATAGAATCGTTAAGGTTGGAAAAGACGCTTAAGATCATCGAGTCCAGCCGTTAACCCAGCACTGCCAAGCCCAGCACTAACCCATGTCCCCTGAGTCCTGGCAACGTGTCCAAACGCAGGAGAGCAGCACTGGAGCGTCAGGTCCGACCCTACCACGATTCATAACTTTGGGGTTGTCCCACATTTCCCCCTCAAAACAGAGTCACAGCTTATTTCACCTCTGACGCAGAAGCCGTTCTGACATGATTTAAGCACAGCGTATTCGAAGCGCTGAAGCTCCTGGCACCTGCAGAGCAGAGCTGCAGAGAGGTTCTGCAAGGAGCACTGACCTGGGAGCGACTCCAGCACCCTGCTCCGAGAGAGGGTGGTGTAAGGGGGGAGACCCGTGCCTTCCAGCGCTGGAACGGGACGCTGCGACGAGGCAGGACTGCAGCCCGCGGCTGCGTGCGCCCAGGAACAGTGCCGCAGCACCAGGGCTGAGCGACAGCCCTGCCGTATTGTTTGAGCAATGCGCTTGCTGACAATACACAACTTCATTTTTATCTCGTGTTCGGGGAACGGTACGAGTTCAGATACAAGCACTGGCAGCACAAAGTGTGCCCGTCTGTGATAAAGGCGCATACGGAGAAGTCCTGGCTCTGCAGCAGGAGCCAGAGACACGTTTGCAGAGGAGCAGCTTTGTGACCTACTGAAAGTTGCAGAAAAATGAGGTGTGGATGGTGCGAGACAGGGAACATGCTGAGCGTAACTGCGGGGCCCTCGGGGAGCTGGCACAGAAGCCCACGGGCACACGTGGGTGTGCAGAGTTGAAAAACGTGCTGACATATCCAAGCTCATCCCTCGGTGAGGAAGAGCCGGTCTTTTCTCGATGGCTGCAAGACGCTGGGGCCTCGCTGCTGCGAGAGGGCGGAAGGATGGGGCTCGTCTCACCGCTGACTGAGGGCTGCTCATCCCCGCCGAGCCCGCTGACTGAGGGCTGCCCACCCCCGCCGAGCTGCGGCTGCCTCTTCCCGGCCCCCGGGGACAAACACGACATTTATCTAGGAACAAAAACTCCCTCGGCACTACCAGACACGCTCATGCCAAAGCCTCACGCAGGATTATTTTTCCTTGTAAGCAATGCGGAAAGCAATGCACAAAGGCAGGACACATGAAAACTAAGAAGGGATAAATAAAATGTCACTTCAGCCTCTGGGCCTGCAGCAGCAGGGACACGTACACGGGCTGACGGGGAGAAGGGAGGCAGCTCTGCGCGGGGCTGCTGGCAAGGGGCAGGGACCAGTGCCGACCACTGCCGCTCTCCCAGTTCTTGGGCAAAGGGGTGGGAGGAGAGGTGGTGCCACCACTCACCTTCGCCTTTCCTCTGCCTCACTCCCAGCTCCCAGCGGCTGGAGCAAGGGTCCGAGATGTTCAGCAGTATGTTTCCAACCTCCCCCATCTCTCACAGGGATCCCACTCATCCCCGAGACTCACCGCACACAAACACACCACGGCAGCTCGCTGTTGGGGCCGATAAGCCCATCCCGAGCAGGACACTCACGCCAGAAACATGCTCCTCTCCCACGGAGCATCGCAAGGGTTTTGGTCAGGGGCACGTCAGCTCTGCCCCCGGCACCGCTCGTGAGGGATGAAGTGAGCTGAGGGAGGGATATAACCCAGCAGCAGGGGATGAAGTTCAGCCCTGCGATCCCTCCTCGGTTCGGCAGCAGAGGGATGCCTCCAGCGCTCGTCCCCTGGTCGCCTCTCCCCAACACGCCGTGGTGGCACAGAAGGGCTGAGGCCGCTGGGGACAGAGCACCGATGCCCTTCCCTCCCAGGAGATGGATCCGGATGGAGTGGCACAGCCGAGACCACCGGTACCCTGCGAGACACCCGTATTTTGGAATACCAAGCATTATACGGTAAAAACCTTTAAAACAGGAGATTAAATAATTTTTCTTTCTTTTTGTGCCTCTTTGTGACAAAGCTACATTTCGCCCCTTTTCCAGAAAAAGGCTCTTTTCTTTGTTGCTCCTTTAGCCTTGGAGGGAGCAGAAATCCCTGGTCTGGTCTCTCCACGGGTTTGGGGAGACCCTCGCTGTGCCTCGGGCTCCCCCTCTGCCCACCAAGTCTGTACCACCACCGTTAAGGCTCTGCCACAGCACAGCATCACCAGCATTCGGCTTTCCACTGCCTCCAGACCATGGTGTAGTCTCAGGGGAGGGAAAAATGTGTTCTTACATTAGAAATAATTAAAGAATCCACCTTTGATAAAAGCCTGGGAAGATTTCTTTTTCAAACTTAAGGGGCAGGGGAAAAAAAAAAAAAAAAGGCACAACCACATTAGCACAGACAAAATGATAAGCTCCTTCAGAGTAGTCCTGGAACGGCTGCTATTAGTTATTTGAGGATTAACCAGCATGGACAAGATAACTAATGAAACGAGGGCTCCAAGCCCAGCTAGCCCTTGGCTTCTTTACCAGGTCTGCCCAGACAGGGGCTTTCTGTGCTAGTAGCTCTATTCTTTGGTGGACATCTGTCCACAAAAACCTGGACAGAGGCCATGAGATCACAGGCCACCTAACACAGACGACAGACTATAACAGCTTTGGCAACCACCAAGCGAGTGCCACACGCGCTTGCCAAGTCCCTGAGTCATCTAATAAAAATGCAGATTTTTCAAAGTCGACTTTGCTACATTTCGTGCGCGTTCCTGTAGGCTTGTGGTCACGATCAGCCTCTCTACGCTGCTGAGCAGCTCCTCCAGCAGCTACTATGGAAACCAGGAGCAGCACCCGTTTCTCGAGGGCAGATAGTTCAGGGGGTTGGGTTTGCAGCCATGATTTTGGAAGCATTGCAAGAAAATGCGTGTTCAGTCGGGATCTGGATTAATTCTTACGGCCCTTCACTCACAGAGGGTAAAGGAGTTAAACAGGTACCAAGCACCACAGCAGGGACAACCCCCAACTGCTCCCATCGTTCCAAAAAAGAAACTTCACATGGCTCAGCATGCCAACATCGCATTCTTACCAAGCCAATCTTCTCCATAGCAAGAGGTTTATTAGCTATCTGGGGGAGCACAGCTGATACGGCCTTGCTAGGAGGTGTCGCATGCCACAGCCAGGGGAGATTAATGCAAAGAATTTAAGGTCAATGGTTTGGGCCAGCTGCTATTTATAAAGAGGAAGGAAAGCAGAACAGCAGTATCACCTCTAGGCCTTAAGAAATGTCGTATAGTCAAGGAGAACATACTGGGAGGGCACAGTTCAACCTATCTTCAGCTTTTTCTTCCATCTCCAAACTAGCAAATTTCAGAAAATCCCCTCTGTTCCAGCGCTGCGGTCCCAGGATCGCTAGCACTCGCTCGCTTCCCTTAGAGGGGAAGGGAGGTTACGAACAAACCCCTGCCAACAGTGCTGCCTCTAACACGACATGCAGCGCGCCAGAGTGCAGAAATCCAGGGCGTATGCAAAAGCCTTAGAGCCTATAGCCTTGCAAAGCCTCTCCACATCTAAAAGTAAGCCCTCCTTGTACACTAGATTCCCCGTATTTCAGTGGTCTTCCTCTTTAAAGGGAACCTACGTAACGTCATTCCCAGGAACAGAGACAGGGAGGACACTTCCCACATCTAGGACAGGAGTTAGGTCGAACGCTAACTTTTTAGGTTGACTTGAAAAAAGCGATTTCTTCAGGAACTGTTGATAGATACAACTATTTAGTTTATAATACTGGATGTGAAAACAAGCAGTTATCAGCTATTTACAATTCCAAAAGGTGACCACATGCCCACTTGCCAACCAAACCAAAAAATGACAGTCGTCATCGTATTGTGTGGTATTAAAAAAAAAAAAAAAGAAACATTAGAATGTTTCTGCTGAAAATAGAAAAAGCAGAAGTATCCCAGAATGTCCTAATAGGACCAACAAGATAAAACCATCCAATCTGCATGTATTCAACTAATACATAAGTTGTTATTTCAAATGCATTTTTCACAGAGCAACAAAAACCCATTACATCAGAGGTTTCACGGAGGTCAGATGCATCAAATAGAAAAAGTGTTTGTCCAGAATGCCTTCAGGGCATTCTTTAAAACATTTGCTCAGTATGTTCAAGTAGAAACATATGAGAATTTCACAAACGTTATAGACTAAAGCTAAGAGCTACAGGGAAAAAGTACAATCTCATACACGTTAGAAAAAAATGCAGCTGACAGTAGAATCCAACAGCCCAAGCCACAAGCTGCAAAATCACTAATGCCTCTGGACGGAGGGCACTTCTAATTCAAGGGCCAGAAGTTTTCCCTGTCACCTGAGCTGCATTTTCTGAGTTCTGTAAAATTTACAGAAAGGTAAAAATAGGAGAGCTTTTACTTCCCACCTCTTTGCTGAATGTTACTGCCATGGGAACGTGTTCTGCACACTGCCAGTTTCTTCTCGGATAATTTCCTATTTCTCCACTAAGCCTCTGGCTCACACATGACTCAGTTTTAGCACTTCAGCGAGATAAGCATGTGCCCCATCCTATACTTAAAATTAGCAGGGCAAACTTCAGCCCCTTCTTAAGAGCCTAGGATAATCAGTCATTCTCTTCAATGAAAAATGTGCTGGTTTATATCAGGAACCAACTTGAGCTACTCCCTTGTCTAGGCAAGGGATGAACAGCAGAAAGCTAAGTCCAGTACAGGGCTGGTAACCACGGCATACATCTTTCTTCTAGATCCAGGGAGATAAATCCTTCCAACACAAATAACATCAAGGCAGATAAAATAGTTTTAATATAGAGCGAGAACAATAGTTGCATAAAAATAAGCAAAATCTTTTTCTTAAAAAAAAGTCTGAGAACTCGTATTTAAAAGAAAAGCCGTTTGGATATCGATCATGTAGGTGACTCATGAGCGCAGGAGCTGCGGCACAGTTCTACAGGACAGTTCAGGATGCTCTTAGCTCCTCCATCCACTAAATCCAGAGGAAGATCTGTGGAGCAAGAAAAAACCCAAACCAGCAATGAGTGCTAGTCTCCCTCTGGCAGTATTAATTCAGCAGATCTCAAACAACTTCCAGTCTCCCTAGTATCAGAAACTTATTATGAGAACGCATTGGTATTTCCAGCATCTTTTACCCAAGACTGCATCAACACATACTAAGTAGATGTAATTATGCTTATTCTAGAGCCTACTGTCTGGAGATACGCATGCTTTCTCTACTTGACAGGGAAACAAAGTCAAGAAACTTGCTAGAAGTAATCCAGCAAGCCCGTGGCAGAGTGGATAACAGAGGTAACCTCAGATCTTAGTCCCATTCTTTAACGGTAAATAAGCATCTCAATTCAGCCAGAAAGGTACCAATTTATTTCATTCCTTGTTTCAACCTGACAAATGGAGTAGATATTAGATTCACACACACAGCTGGAGCACACACATCATGTGCCTGAGACAGGGAGAAAAAGCACAATCTAACTGAAAATTCTCTCTTATATGAAAGATTAACCTCACTGGAAAGCACACATTCAGAGCCTGGACTTTGAGCTCTATGCAGTGCCACTAAAAAGGAAATCAGAACTAGTATGTTACTTGTTACTTTCAAAGCTTGCTCTTGTAAACCCTTCAACTCTTCTATTCTGGTTCTATTTGTGGTTTTAATGAAGAGTTAGACACAAAATGGTACTTACGTGTTAGATGATCCAAAACCAAACCCTGAAAGAAATGCGAGATTAGAAAAACAATCGTTAAAAGGAAGATAAAATGAATGCATAAGATTTGTAGTAAATGTCCCCTCCCACACACAGATTGAAAAACATAAAGAGTGATGGGCAGACAATGAAAGTCAAATCTCCATCTAGAAGAAAAGTGACTTGCCTCGGTTCCTAAGAGGGCTTTGCTTTCACTGCTAATCAGCTAGCTCCATTCATTAGTAGCAACTGCATACAGTGTGCCTGGTTTATTCACCTCTCCATGAAAATAAGCGGGCTGCTTTCTGAAGATGGAGTTTGTGCTTAATGCAAGCCAGCGGTGACAGGCAGACCACCAGTGAACGTATCCTCTCTCAAAGGCTCTGTTCTCAGCCCTGTGTAAATCACTGCAGCTTCACTGAATTACATCAGATAAAAATTTGGCTACTGGTGTCCTAGCTCAGTTTTGCAGTGCATATTCTTTTGACACTAAGTACTTACATACAGATACCCATGCATATGGTACTGAAAAGATATTCATTATTTCTCAATATTTTCCTTTGAGGAGAAAGAACAACTCCACAAAAAGGGGTGAAAAGCAATAATCCGATGAGGTGTGCAGAAGAAGAGTGATTTATTGACATGCCACACAGCAAATCAGTGATGGAATTACGAGATAAGGTCTGAGAAGATGCTACACCCCACCCTGCAGCTCAGTTCTCCAGACCATGGTGCCTTCCCTATAGCAGGACCAGGACCAGGCAGATTTTTGACAGGGAGCTGAGTCGTCACACCTGAGTTCCACAAAAAACTGGAGACACAGGGCCTGTACGGTTCATTGTATTCTAGCTTCTCTTACCTCCTCCACCTGTCCCAAAAGCGGAGAATCCACTGCTTTGCGTGCCGAAACTGGTACCCTGTTGCGACAGCGATCCAAATGTTGGTGTATTTTGATTTGCTAGCGTGCCAAACGACGCTGTATTGTTACTGGTACCACCAAACCTGCAGTTTAAAGAGAAAATTTGTGTTTGCAAGCATCTCACACTGGAAGTTTGTCCCCATACCCGCAATGATAACAGTGCAATCCTTAAGTGAGGATACATCAAAAGAGCGAGTCCGCCCGATATGAATAATTACAATTGTTCATTCTGGAAATGGATTTTCTGGTTTGGGAAAGACTATTGTATATACGAACATCTGTTCAGCTCCCATTCATAACGTACAGCAGGCAGAAAGGCAAATATATTCATGCTTACACAGGATACGTTTTCAAGTGCTTGGAAATACCAGCTCCAGCCATCAAATGGAATATATTAACTCACCTGTGCGTAGTTTTCACCCTTTAAGCTCAAAAGTACAGCATCGTTTCGTTTCACAAACAGGGCAGCAAATACAGAATTGGTCTGAGTGGCTCATGGCCAGAGCACAAAGCAGAGCCCAGATACAGAACCCAGACTCCCAGCTTTCCGGTGGTACCGTACCCATTGCCCATGTCAACAGCCCGCAGATTTCTCAGTCCCCTTCTCTCCCCAGCCCATTTTGAACCACACACCGTCCCAGTGCTTTCCTGAAGTTCTGCACCTACCTGGCACTTCTCCCCACTACCTTTGGATTACTTCCCTAATTGCTTTTGGGGACTGAAATAAGAGACACTTTTATATACGGAAATTAGTCTCCTTTCTCTACCCACTCCGTCCAACCAGGCATTGTAGAGCTATCAGCACGACACACTAATGAGACCATGATATGCATTATGGTTCTCTGCTCCCCCCCATACACTTCTCCCAATTCTAAACGTAATAGGTACGCTCAAAAAAGGAGCTCCAAGTGTTTCCCTAACTTAAACTGGGCAAAATGCAGACACAAAATTTTCAAATGACAAGCTCCACTAAAACTCTGCAAGTGCACAATGCTACTAGTGCTAACCCAGCACCAGCCCTCCCCTGAGCAGACAGTTGGCCAGTCAAATAGCGTCCCAGCTTTGCAAGGCTGTGCCTCACGCTAGCTCCTGTTATTTCTGACTTAAAATATGAACTGACAGCACGTTAACCCACCCTTCCATCCATCCAGATCTAGTAGACTTTAAAAAAAAAACCAAACCACCACATCAAAACCTATCTCTCCAGATAAAAGACAATGCTTGTAGCAGCGTGACAAGCAATTCACCTGGTAAAGGACATCACCTCTCCTATCCCAGACACTGTCAACTGTACCCACTGCTTCCATATACCGCACTAGATACAATGGGCAGTTCAGTGACTTTGCATCTTTGGCCCTGCTAACCATCCCCTGTGCCTGTGGTTTGGCTCTTGACCCATCTACCTTGCAGACAACTTCAGGTCAGAACCACAAATGTGGTTTTCTCAGGAAGGGCAGAACAGGTTTTGTTGTTCTTTTTGAAAAGCAGCAAGATGGGGTGATGCGTTTTGGAACAAGAGGTTTTTACAGTGCTCTATCTCCTCAGGACTATGCCACCAAACACACAAATCATGTCTACCCAGTGAAAGGAAGTGGAGGTGAAAACAGCGACAAGGAAACTTGTGGTTCAAACTGCTTCTTTCAGTCGCAACTAGAACATCATGCCTGGTGAAAAATGCTAAGCATAGCAGCAGAAGAGAACACCTTAAGCTAGGGATAGATTTTTTTTTTTTTTTTAAACATACAAAAGACATGAGATAGTCATTGCCTGGTAACAATTTAATCAAACCTATGTTGCCCAGATTTTCAGGTCTTTTTTAAAGCTCCTACACAAAACAGAATTGAGAGGCACTTGAGGCTAGTTTATGAAAGCAAAACATTATTTGCTCACAAACAGTTGGAATTGCAGACTTTGAAGAAGTGTAGTGGTTTCTATTTTTTGATACCCCAGTCATTGATCAAGTGATGCAGATTTTTCAGAATTGAAGCAGCAATGAACCACATGTGTTTAAGTTAGCAGTGTGTTCTCAGGAACTTGGAGCTAATACCACACAACGTACTGAGAAGTAACTTCTCTGGATTTAGGATTTTTAAAGTTTCACTTCAAGAGAAAGGCAGAAAGGAAGTCCTGCACAGACGCTACGTTATACTGCAGAATTAAACTTTTGCTCAAAATTTTGTCGTGAGATTTGGATTTTTGTAAAGCTGCCTGGGAATTTTGCACACTCTTTTGATGTTTTTAAAATCAAAATCAAATTCCTCAGGCAACTCTGAAAATATCAGAGTGAGTCTGCACCTTTCTAACAGAGAAGAAATTCTCAAAACTTCCCACAAGTTAAGCCACTGAATTCTTTCTTGAGTCTGCAGACTCCTTATGCAAGCTGTCTGTTTGCATCACCACGCTGTTCGCTCTGAACCCCATTTTACCTTTAAGCTTCCAACACTGTCACTGAGCACGTCCAGTGGCAGTACAAAATCCTGCAGCACAACAGCTGAAAGCTGGAACTTAGCAAAATATCAGTTGAGCTGAAGCTAAGTCATCCCCTTCTTTGTGGGGATTTAATTAAGCTGCCTCTGTTTTTACCCTTTCCAAAGGGACTCTCCAGCTGGATGCACCAGAATTCAGGATGTAGCAGAAGAACCTAGCTGAAGCCTCCCACAGCTCAGGGGTGCCCTGGCAGATGGGTATCTGCCTAACCTCATGAGGAATTAACAAGTTACACTTCTGGATGTTCTAATGTGCCTTACGTAAGGGCAGTTCCTCCTGAAACTAAAGACAAACACTTGCGAAATATGTAAACACTAAGATTGGGAAGATATCCTGTTTCCTCTTTTCACTGGAAATTTTTCTTTTTTAATTGGGTCTATTCGGTCTGAATATAATTGTAGCGTGTGAAGGAGAGTTGCTTGCTGGTAGTGCAAGGTTTGAAATTCTGTATTTGCTGAATAAAACAAGGAATAAAGTGCTGTCTACTCCGGTGCCAAGCATAGGCTTAAGGGGTAAAGAAGCAGGTAAAAAACAATCAGTGTGGGATAAATGCAAATCGCTCTGGGAGTGCAGGCTGTTACAAATGTTTCATCCCACCCCTCAAAGGTGACAGACCAGCCTGAATTCTCATTAGTATCTCTAGCCCAAATCTCCCAAGTGGATAAGGTGGCTACACAGAGTCACAGATAACTATATTATTTTCTTTGCTAGGCATAGTTCGTAGGCCTAGATTTGAGCTCATTAAGTGTACACGCAGAAAACACTCCTGCATTCCCTTAGACACTTGCAAGATGACTCACATTCTCCCCTACCCCCCATCTCTAAAGATTCAACATAGTAGTTTCAGCATTAAAATTATAGATCATACACATAATTTCCTCTGGGGTTAAAGTCTTTGTTTTATGCCTTTAAAAAATAAATGAGAAAAAAAACCAAACAAGCAAACCAAGGACTTAGAGCTTAGCAATCAATCACAGAATACACTCTTCATATTAACGTAGAGGTAACTAAGCGTAATAGTTTCTGTCATGCAAGAATATTGCTTTCCCAAACCCTGGACCCGGGTTGGCTTACCCAAAGCCTCCAGCGCTGGCTGCTGCTGTACCCTCGCCGAACACTTTGCCTCCCGTTGAGCCCAGAGGGCTTGAAAAGGTTGGGGCTGAACCGAATGCTGGCACCCCTCCGAACCCAGGGGATCCCCCAAAAGTGGGAGGGCTGCCAAACACTGGAGCAGCACCGAAGCCACCTGAGCAAAACAGAGGCAAAAGGGACAAGAACATCACATAAACAATAATGCAGAACAAGAAAACCAAAACTAGATTTCCAAGGAGACAATCTCCATAATGGGGCTGTTCATCTTATATGGACACAGCATTATTTATAAAACTAATTGCCACAAAGCTTCCAAACTGCAGGGTATTTTGTTACAAAAGACATGGATAAGAAAAGTGCCTGAATGCATACAAAAAACTGCAACCGAATTAAGAGACTATCCAGAAGAAAACCACATTCTGGGTCTCTTGAGCACAAGATCAACTCAGTTCCCAGAGCTGTGCTTCTGGCAATATATCGTACATGCTTGCACCCTGTGAAGGAATCTCTGCTTGCTGTATATAAAAAGACCAGTATCTTAATTGTGAGATAGCAAGCGTGCACAATAACCAAGTTATAGTAAAAATACATACAAGGGGTGCTAGGCTAATGGTTTTATTATTATTAAAAAAAAGACATATCCATCCTTCACCATAAAGCTAGCACTCTGCACCAGAAAAACAAAAAAAAAGCTTAGCTTATGTAGTCAGTTTTAAAGTAAAGCTCTGCTCATCACCATTTAAACAAGTTACTATCCAAAGGAACTGCATACAACAATGCAGAATGAAAAGTCTCCTGTAAAGGTCAGCTTCGTGAACGTTTGCTGCTGTGGCTTAGTCGCAGGGTTTTACCCTGGCTTCTGACCTAAAGCTCTGGAAGGACATACAAGTGTCCTGCGGACAGAACTTCATGCACGCAAGTGCTTAAACTGGAAGAACTCCCCAGTCTCCTCCATCTCTTAGGATCAGCGAGTATATAGCAAGCTTGGTTTTTAGGTGCTCCAGTGATGCAGAAAGATTCAGGAGGCAGGGTATTATCTAATCCTGGTTTAAGTGGTGGAAACTAAGATGCAATGATTAAATGCCAGGTCAGTGGAACTGCACGATTCCTGCAGGGAATCAAGAACTGAACTCTGCTCTTGGCAATTTCTGTTTGGGGTTTAGCTGCCTTCTGCGGCTTTGAGTGGACTTCTACCCAGACTATTTTATTCTGTGTTCATCTGCTGATATTATTGGCCTGTTTCTAATTGACACTGTGGAACGTGAAGGACACCTGCTCTTTTGACTAGGGATGAGGATGGGATACCACCACACATTTTAATACCCTGGGTGAAATTCCAGTCCATGTCAAGGTAATGGATACTGTTTGGCTGTAAACACAAAAGGTCTGGAAAAAAATAAATGCTAGGCCTGAATTATTTAAACACAGATCAGATATCTTGTTACCTCTGTCTCTAGGAAGTTAGAGTATTTATCACAGGGGCTGAAGCTTTGCTTGGCATACACTCTCTTTTGCAACGCATATTAACAAATAGTGAAGAAAGGGAAAGGAAACATGTAAGTAGTGAAACCAGGACAAAGGGGGATTCAAATCAAGTAAACCCTTCCACTGCAGCTGGGAGAGGAAGACACACCATTCATTTCAATATTTAGCAAACATCACCAGAGAAGGGAATGAACTGAGGGGCTCTGGGTGAGTGGACGTGCCTTCTGCAGAAACTTCTTGAAAATCCTATCTCAAGAAGAATTTTGAAACCAAAATAAGCAAAAGCAAGGGAAGAGTCATTGGGTGAATGAAAGAAGAACTTCCTTCAGCAATGCTTTTCTCCTCCTCTAGCAAAATAACAGAAGGGAAGTATGCCTGAGACAAGAAACTCAGTCGGCTACCAAGTGGAATGCAATACTTGGAGACACCCCTTACAAATGGCTGTTGGATCTGACAGCATCATCACTATGCTCCCAGTCACTTCACTAACATGAGAGCACAGCTACTGTCAAAGCAGAGAATGCTTCCTCTCAAAGCACTGCTTCTCCAAAGGGAGTTCTTCAGCACCATCGTCTCAAGACAACTTCAAGGATGACCAAGCCTCCCCTACTTCCCCCAGTGATGAAGCTTCAATAGACACACTTGGAGCAGAACACCTATCTTCACCAATGTTCACCGTAAGAGCGGTCTGAGGATAGAGGAAAAAAAGCTTTGCTCTGCCTGACACTTCGGGCCTCCATTTTTGCCTGGTAATTAACAAAATGAACATTTTGCGATTCAGTTCTAATGAACATATCACAGTCACCACTACTTCTGTGGCTCTTTCCTTGGGCAGTAAAAAGAAAAGAGGTTTTGTGAAATTTCCAATATTTGATTCAATTAACTCAATCGACAGAGGGAATAACAGCTCAACCACAGAAGAAAGTATGATGACAGGTCAGGCTGATTTCAAAAGAGAAGGACCTCAAGCACATCTGATATGAATTTTATGAGGAAACTTTCCCATTGTAGACATCTGTGCGTTCACTCGCATGAAGAAATGGGGACAAAAAGGGTTACAAAACCCAGAGTGAAGTTTGGAAGATAATATTCCAAGGAAGCATCAAAAATAGGAAAAATTTATTCAGTTCCATATTCTGTACTCTTCATTGTATGGTACATAACACCAGAACTAATTCACACAGCTCTCTGCTCTTAAGCTGCAACAGGAATTTCTGGAATGAACACCTGAAAATGTAGTTTACTGGATGCTTTTCTGCACAAGAGATTGTAAGTCTCTGCCTTGAATCCACCAGCTAAAGTTCCATTCACTAAGCCATTAGTTATATTTTATTGTTCAGAGACAATTCCTGTACACGTACTGAGGCCAGGCTGTAGACATCTAAATGACAGAATACTCTACTAAATATCTCACAGATGAGCATGGGTGTTCATAGTGGGTGGATTAACAAAGTACCTGCTTTGTTTGGACTGGAGAACCCAAAGCCTTGAGACGCCACACTTCCACCACCAGAGCTGAAAGTGCCTGTAGGCTTCTGCTCTCCAAAAGATGAGCTGCCAAATCCAAAAGTCTTCGCTCCGCTGTTTCCAAATAAGCTAGAAGAATCTGGGGAGATGAAGAATACTTGTGAAGCTCATAACAGACAATATTCTACATTACACTTCATTAACTGGATCAGGAAAAAGGGAAACACCTTTTATTTCCCCAACCCCCAAGCACAAAATGAACACCACGTTGAAAACAGCACTCTGCAGAGAGAAGCCGAGTTTTCCCCTATTCCTACAGGGCTTTGTAGTTCCACCAAGATCCATTCTGGATTCGATGGACCACTAACAACCCTTTATTGCTGCGATCTAGCAAATCACAGCAATGGATGATTTGTTTAGTTGCATCCTGTGCCGCAGTCACTAAAAGACAATCCCTCAAGTGAGAAATCACAGCAGCTAGAATCAGTCTCTCTTGACAACACAAATATCAGTCCACCACAAATTAAAGATTCTCAGCTGTTTTGACAATGGCCAGTGTTTCTGAACATGACTATCTGACAGGACCTTAAAGTAGGAGCCAAACTCTTCCAGCCTTACTGAGAAATAACTCAAGTTTTCATCTTTCACAAGGCTACAGAGAGTTTTAGCATCTAGTAGCAAGACACAGAATAACCAAAGCTTTTCTCTGGTGAACCATCCATTTTATTTCATCATAAAACCCAGCACTGCAATAAAGGAGGACTAAATTAGCAAGGTTAGTGAACTGACCTCAACCATTAATCCCAATGGATCATTAAAGATGTAATAAAAGAAATGGATTTGCTCTCCCAAGACTTGGAAGTGCTACTTCTAGCCACTTGCAGCTCATTCTACAGCTTTCCTTTGTTCCCCTACTTTTATGTCTTAGCCACTGCTTCCCCTTCTTTGTGCTTTCTACCTGCTGGACTCCACCCCTTCTGCTTTCCCCTTCTGCCAAACCCAAGTCACAAGTGATGAAATAACGAAGCTGGGCAGTCATTAAATAAAAGCCACAGCTAAGAAATCATTATGATTATCATTACATGTGACACACAAACGTACGTAACAAGCGCAGATCTGCAATACCTGCGCACAAAAGGCACGAGAGAGCCTGCTACTATTTCAAACTAATTGCTACAGCAGAGAACGGCATACATGCATCTCAGCTCAAATTTTAGAGTATTACCAAGACTTGTTAGCCCAGAAAACTCAAGACTAATGTGTTTTTAACTTGACTCTGGCATTAAAAAAAAAAAAAAAAAAATCTTTACACTAATAGACAGTGATTGATTCCTGCCTTTACAGTTAATCCTTTATAGCTTCTAGAAAAAATTTCTAATAATCCCTTAAAGTCCCTGGTTCAAAGGAACCTGCGGGTAGCTTTAATGTATTCTTAACTACTTTTCATGCCTCCTTTTGTTAGGTTCGGTGGCTGCACAAGAAGCAACATGTGGGAGAGTTGGTGTGGCACCTCACGTGCAGATTGATTTAGCTAAAACACACGTGCAGACTGATACCTTTTAGCTGACAACTGGAGCAAAAGAAAGGACAAGTGCTGAGTCCCTCCTCCCAAAGAGGGCTTTAACACAATTCCTCTCATCTACCCAGCTTTCACGATGGTTTTACAAGTTTATCTGTCAGAGACCCACCCCGTCTATCAAATCTGGATAAAAACTGATAAAAGGAACTCTATAATTCTGCTACCTTACCAAAACAAACTACCTCCCGAAACCAACCACCGAGCATATTTATTTTTCTTTACTACATTGATGTGACTGAAAGAATTCACATCTGCTCCTAGACACAAAAAGCAACCAAGAGCTTATCCATATGTTATAGCAAATTTTGATAAAATATCTTGCATGTGCTGCATAAAGATAGCCATTTTTAGGACAAAGCTGAGGAAACTGCTACCCATCACATACTTGTTAACCTGCTTTCTCTTGAGCATAGGGTTCTTAACAATTTTTACAGTGTTAGGGCAGATGAGAAATAATCAAAGCTTTTTAACTTCCAACCAAGTTGCAAGAAGAAATTCAGTGACAAGAATTTAGAGTATTCAATTTTAAAGAAGCATTTGGCCAAGAATTCCATACAGAATATAGATATTCTTAATACTTCTTGCATCTGCTTGTTTGATTCAATGGCTTCCCTACTTGTTTTCCATAAACCTAAAAGAAAAATTTCAGATTACACATCATGCACACTCTCTGGTCTCTGTTACCGCTAGAAGCCTTTCATGTTAACACAGAATTTACTCAAAGGCAACTAACGGCAGAAAAGCAGACGGGATCGCAAAAGCAGATGAAAATCACAGCACATTTTGTATTCTTGTTTTGTTCACTTACTCTGGGAAGCTGCAGATCCAAATCCTCCACTGGAGGAACTGAAGGGATTCTTATTGGCTGCATCCTGACTCGGCTTTCCTCCCAAACCACTGAAGAAGCCTCCACCTCTCCCACCACTTCCAGATCCAAACAAGCCTCCACTGGAAGAAGATGGCTGCTAGAACACAAAAAGGACAAAAAAAGGATTTAAGTGAAGTCAAAGCAGCACATGCCTCCAAGGCTGATTTTTCTGTCTGGCTTGTTCCTCTGGATATACGAAGGGGCTGATGAACGTGCCCACTACAACAGCAAATATCTTTGGTACAGACTAGGACACTTTTTACTAAGCATGTCAAATTGTATCTCCTGGTTTGTTGGTTTTTTTTTTTTTTCCATGTATCAGAAATAGGTAGGGAACCCTGAACAAGTCCACTATACATACCAGTCCCTTACTTCTACAAAAGCAATAAATACTTGCCTGGCCGAAGACAGTGCCTCCAGTATTAGCCGCTTGCCCAAACACAGAACCTGTGTTACTAGAACCAAAACCTGCTAAGAAAAGAAAGGAAAATAAACCACCAGAACTATTACTAGGGTATAAGACAATTCAGGGAGGTGACACTAGTCCAGAACAGGGGAAGGACAGGTCTCCCATGCCAAAAGACAGGGATACAAATGGTGTTACCAAACGTATCTAGGTTGGACAAATTTAAAGTATGTGCCAACACACAAATAACAGATTCCATTGAAAGTCTATTTGAAAGTCATTCTCCTTCTCTCTTCAGCCAACTTAAAAACAAGCAGAAAATAAAAGGCCTTTTCACTTGTGGGATTATTGCTAACAATATAAGAGAATTGGATTTCTGTTAACATTGCTATAATGCTGCAAGTCATGAACAAGCACTGTAGCATTCTGATTTCCCTTGTGGAGGGAGGATCTGAGCTTTGTTACCTGAAGATTCCTGTTATAGATAATGAAATGTTTTGATTAAAAAAAGAACTCCCCATTCCATTTCCCAGTTCACTTAAATGTGCATTTTGTAATAAAACTTGCATTTCTATAATTAGGAACACCTTTCTCAAGCAGCGTTCACTTCCCCCAATTTAACTATTCTCTGTTACTGTAGTTAAAATGAGCAAGCAGTTTGCCTACGGTGCCATCGTTTTTAATTAAATGAGCCTAATTAGTTTTTCTTCCTTGGAAAGACATGTTCCCTATTATTACTATGTACTTTTCACTTTTCCTTGGGAGCTCTCTGAAGATTATACAAACCCAACAATATATTGTAGCAATGTGGAGAACAAAAGGAGACTGACAAAGAAGGTTTGGGCTGTGTAAGTATTCAATTTAACCGTGTAGACAGGTAGCTGATGGTCATGTTACCGCTATAGTTGCTTTTGCATTTGGAAACATCTCAAAATCGGATTTAACAGATTATTTCCTTGCTAACCCATCACTTTGAGGGCTTAAAATTTTTTTGCCGTCCCAGATCATGATACAGTACTATACCTGGCATATACACCCACTGTTGCACGTACTCAATGCAGCCCGCTGAAGGAAGAAGGCATCTGTACTTATTGCCTTGATGATGGTCTCAGAGCTGCCTTGCCACTTCAGTGTAACAATTTACAACAACAGACTAGTTTAAGATCTTTTACACTACGCTGAATCCAACACACTTATTGTGTAACAGGCAGGACGATACATAATTCAAAATTAAGTCAAGGTAGACTTGCAAGTATAAAATGAATGCAAGATTGGATTGAAAAGGCTACATTCAGAGGCCTACTGATGAATAGTGAAGCAGAGCAAAAGCTTCTTTGGTCTCCAACATTAGCCTCGCCCTCACACACACTGCAGCTCCTACTCTTACTAATTGGAAAAAAAAAAACAACAAAAAACCAAAAAAAAACCCAAAACACACCCACAAAAAAAGGCTACATTCAGAGGCCTACTGATGAATAGTGAAGCAGAGCAAAAGCTTCTTTGGTTTTCAACATTAGCCCTGCCCCCCCCCACCCTGCAGCTCCTTCTCTTTACTAATTGGAAAAAAAAAAACAACAAAAAACCAAAAAAAACCCCAAAACACACCCACAAAAAAAAAAACAAAAACCATCAAGTGCCACAGGGGGGGAAAAAAAGAAAAGGCATTAAAAAACATCCTACTTTCCCCAGTGATATACTACTCTCTGTACTTCAGCCAGACAGCACTGCTGGGATATGGCATCTCCCTGCAGTTTGTTCTTACCTGAAGCTTGGCAGAAGCTGAACCCAGCAGATGACGTTGTAGTAGTAACGGCAGCAGCACTACCAAAGACGGATCCCCCTTGCCCAAAGCCGGTGTTCTGCCCAAACACTGGAGGGCTGCTTTGTCCAAACAACCCACCTCCAGTGCTGGCAGATGGCTGTCCAAAGGAAAAGGAGCTGGCGCTGTTGGTGCTAGCCGGTGCTCCAAAAACATTGCCACTGCTCGAGGCTGCTGTGGAAGCCGCTGGCTGGCCAAAAGCTGGCATTGTCCCAAACCCAGACTGGCTAAAGGTAAAACCACCTGAAGAACTGCTCGCTGGTTGCCCAAAGGTCGGTGCTTGTCCGAAGGTTGGCTGACCAAAGCCCCCAGTAGTGGTGGTGCCAAAAGCAGAAGTACCAAAACCTGAGCTGGCAGCCTGTGTGGTAGCGGTGGCAGTGGACAAGGTACTGGTGGTGAGTTGCCCAAATGGAGAGGATGATGTGGTACCTGCTGGTAGTTGTCCAAAAACAGGTGGTGTGGAAGGAGTAGCAGTTGTATCACCAGCAGGCTGGCTAAATGCTGAGGCAGAAGAGCTGGAACTTGGAGGCTGAGAGAACACAGAGGAGCCTGCAGAAGTGGGGGCAAACACAGAGGCACCAACAGCTGGACTCTGAACACATGTAGTAACGTCAGAGGTAGCAGCCAACGCACTTGTGGCTTCTGCAGGAGAGGCAATGTTTGTTGCAGAGGTTGTCGTTGAGACATTCTGATCTGGTGGGGCAGATGCAGAGACGGCAGGAGACACTGGTGCCTTCAAATCACTTGTGGAGGCAGGAGTAGCAATGGCATCAGGGGGAGGTGCTGATGATGTGGTGCCAGAGCCCGAAGAGACGGTGTCCCCGGCTGTGGCCTGGGGCAAAGCCAGTTCTTTAACGGACTCTGAAAGCTGTATCTGAGGCTGTGGTGACTGCGTCATTGGAGGTGAAGACCCAGCTGCTACAGCTTCATTTTCAGATGGCTTTTCTGACACAGACGGTAATTTGGCATCCCCTGCACCCTTATTAGAAGTTGCAGCAGGGGCAGCAGTTTGTGATGAACTCAAGAAGCTTCCAAATGAGAGGGACGTTGAAGCAGAGACTGTAGAAGGGGTAGAGGTGGATGTACTCATACTGTTTGCTTGCTGAGTACCAAATGAAAAGGTGGGTTTGTTGCCACTAGAGCCTCCAAGAGTAAATACCCCAGAAGACCCTGTGTTGGTTATCTGGACATTGCCAAAGAGACTGCCTGTGGCACTAGTGCTGATGGATGGGGATGCCGTGGCAGCCGATGTGACTGACGTTGAAGCAGCTTCTCCAGCTTTTCCTAATGACAGGGGAGCACCAAAAGTAAACCCAGAAGGTATTGCAGATACTTTAGTTGACTGTGCTCCTGCAACACTAGTAGATGGTGCTTTAGTGGTGGTCTTGGCATTGTCATCTACTTGACCAACCCGTAGTCCTGAGAAGCTCCCAAGAGTTTCCCCAGCTAGATTGCTCTGAAACAAGTGATCTCCTGGTTTAGATGGAGGGATATCCAGCTTGCCAGAGGCTGTGGAGGGAGCAGAAGATGTTGTTGCAGCAGGTTTGTTTGACTGGGTGCCATCTGCTGAGGAGCTATTTCCTACTAAGGCTCCTGGAGCACTTGCTGGCTTGAGGGACCCAAAAGCAAAGGAGCCCTCAGGGACTACTCCAAATTTGGAAGCCCCAGCAAGCGAAAATGAATCGGTCTGGGTGGACTCTTTAGTGGGGGCTGTCAGTGAGAGAGACAGAAGTTACAAGTTGAGGTATGGTATGCAAAGCTCATTTATCATTCTTACAATAATAGCATGCTTTAGTGCTTCACAGACTGTTAGACAGTGCTCTTGCCTCAAAACTGTAAAGCCTCTGACCATCAGGTGACTGCCACTTCCATGTGCATTCAGGAGACAACAGTGACATCTGAAGCCTTTATGGGCAGAGTTGCAGTGACAAACACTGTTACTTTCATGTCATAGCCTCCACTTAACCATCCTTCTCGTTGAGTACAGACAATTTCAGCCTTTGGCTCCCTTCTCTTTTTCAACAGTTTGATAAAAACATAAAAGACCCGGTTACTACAGACCATTTGCTGTTAACACCATTTTCACCCCTTCTTACTTGGTTCAGCTAACCAATTCCTGACATTCACTACAGAACTCTCTGTTTAAACCAATGGCTCAGAACCGAGTTTGGGTCATAAAAATATTTTCTGGCACTTGAAAAATCCTCTACAGAATCAAATCTGTCTTTACAAATTCAATAATTTATAGACCACCGACCAGTTTCTATGCAGCCTGTTTTCAGCTTTGAAAGACTAGAGAAAAGCTCTCAAATGTAATTGCCAAAGCAGCTCCACTTCTAAGATATACTGCTGTCCAACAGTGTGAAACTGCTCAAGTTTTAAGGGAGACTGAACTAGTTTTATTCGATATATTGTCATTTCATTCCTGAGCACCAAACACACACAGATTCTGTCTTGAAGACATTGCATTCATGTTTGGACTATGGGTTGATTTGGACAAGGTACAGGAAATCTACATAGAGATCAAATAACAAAGAGCAAAAGCTTCTTAGCACAGCTGGTATTATCCTTGTGTTTTACCCTATAAGTATATTAAGTATATTTAAGAATATTAGTAACCGACACAGAATAATGTAGCATGTTTCCTCCTGAGGCACTGAAACTCATTGTGTTCTTCTTCCACCACCAGCTAACAGAGGCAAAGGTGCTCCTACCATTTCACAGAGCGGCACAAAGTAACTGCCCTCACACGGCGCTGTGGTTTACAAGTCTGTCTTCCGCACCTCCCGCTCCTCCTATATTCAGTATTATTTACCTAAGCTTTTACGTTAACTGAATCTTCAAGTTTTAAGCCAAGTTAGTTCTCTCTGCTTAACATCAACAGAGTATTAGTAGCATTGCTGTGGCTGCGATGGTCTAAGTATACAAGCAAGCCAAGATTTCTAAGAAGATGTGTTATCTTTTATTAGAGCAACCAACAACATTGGAAGTGAGTTTTTGACCACACAATCTCTTTTGCAAGACTGAAATAGAGGCAGAAATCTTCAAGACTATTATAAAGCAGATGTATCAGTCCCCTTTTTCCAGACCGGGTAAATACGGTCTACCTATGAAATGGAAAGGCAGCCTATATATGGTCAACTCAATTTTAGAAGCAACACAAAGCCATCCCAAGCATTCCCCTCCCATTACTAAATGCTCATTCCACTTAATGACAGCTTTCTGTGCCAGACCACTTCGGCAACTTTAAATCTACAGATTAAAGACAACAGAGGAAACTAGTACAGATGTTACCCTTTTCATAAACTAGTACCTCCTAGATGCTCTTGGCAGCAAACATTTTGCTTACTCTTAATTGAAAGGCAGGTGGCCTAGATTTCTGTGCATTACAGGGCATAATCCAGCATACGTATATAATGTTATTGCAGCTACTGCAATTTTAATAATAGAACTGCAACATAAAACAAGAACAACACAATTTAGGAAGAGTAAGCATGCTCTTAGCAGGGAAGAGATGTTGTTTGCACACTCTTCCAAACTAACCTTGTGAGGAAGCGAGGCTGGGCAGCGTCGGTGATGAAGCAGCTGATGTGACAACACCAAAATTAAATCCAGACCTAGGAGGAAAGAGGAGAAAGGGAAAGAATGACACTTAGCTCAAAGTGTTGAAACTTCCAACCCCATGATTAAGACAACTTTGAGACCCAGATTTCCAGTACAGACTTGCACAAAGTCAGGCACATAGGCATAAGAACAGTTTCTCTAACAACTAAACAGGCAGAGAGCTGCATGCACGCAGACTGGGCTCCATTTGTTTCCCTTCTAACAAAGCTTCTAGAGGGTTAGAGAGAGTCAGAGTTCAGAGTTCTTTTCACCACCCCGCATCCTCCATATTCTTTCCTTTCTGCTGTATATTTCTTCCCCATTCAGCTCGACAGCAGAACACCACGCATCAAATCCTGATAGCTCTTGGGAGACTAGCAAGAGCAGAAGCCACAGCGGCAACTAGAGTTTATTCAAAAGAGAGTTAAAAGGTCAGAGACAGTGCATGTACAAAAGGGAATAAATGGATACTACCACCCGTCAAAAAGGAGATCACAAGACAGAAATTAAAAGTTTCAGTGACTATTTCACACTGAAAATATTCTGTCGTGCAAAAATACTGTGATCTTTCATAAGGAGCCCTGGGGTCCTCCAGAGGCCTTCATTCCCCGAGGCTTTTTAAGCTTTCTCTGATTCTCAAGGACCAGCTGCTGATATAGAAGTCAGGCCGTTTAGGCACTGTATTTAGCATATGGTTTACAGACTAAGGCACTGCAGCCTGGGACAAAGGCAGGGTTTGTTTGCTTTTTGAATCTGAATTTCCAGTCTCTCAAAAGGACTATTTGAGTCTTTTGAAGAGCACAGCAAGGTGTTTGGGTAACATCCGCTTGACAAACGGTTAACACTGAAAGAAACCAGCCATTTGAACATATGCGTGCTCTGAAATACTTAATGTTACTGACTTCATAAAGAGAAACTCACTCGAGTATTAAATAGGTAAACATGCAGAATTTCAAACCATCATTTTTAAGGAGTCATCCCTCTGCCCCAAACATAAGATATGACCAAAGAAATATTTTGTCATTCCTGAAAAAACACTCCATAAGAGAGATTTCAGAATAACTGTATGTTCATAACATGCGCCTTGCTTTGCGTTATTGTTATGTAACAGAAATCACCAGATGGCATGGGGACTCTCTAGTCACCTTCACGAACAGACTACTTCTCAAACCAAAACACAGAATTTGTTCTGTTGTACTAAAATAGGTAAGTAATTCAGCAAGTTTGACCATTGCCACAAATTTCAAGTCCTAATTGGGAATTCCAGCACTTCTGTCTCTCAAACCTCTACCAGCATTTGAAACCCACATACGTATGCCCAGGTTAGAAAACCCAACATCATTCTCTTTGGAACCCATCTTCAGAGGTGACAAGTGTTAATATGACCATGTTCAGGTTCTTTCTTCTTCTCTGGGAGCAGAAGCCTCCAGTGTTCAACCTCTACTGCTGCTGTAAAGCCCAAGTTCGTTCTCACATGCCTCTGCACAACTGGCTAGGGATGATTTTCCTGCTACTGCTCTTTGTTCACTAAATAAAGAACAAGGTTTAAAACTTGCTATGGTCTGCCTCTTTTTCCTTTTCCTTAACCCCAACATACAAGATACAGCATAAATGTTCTTCTCTGACTCTCTGAGAAGTGGTGATGTGCACTCAAAGACAGTCAGTGAACCCAGTGCATCAGACCATGAGCAGATGCTTTAACCACAGTCATATTGCTCTGATCTCAAATCATCACCTGACGATGAAAAGTATCAGTCCACACAGCGTATGACTTGTTCAATAGTCCACTATAGATAAACCCAAGAAGAAAGCCAGTCATTCTTTATTCTTGATTAGTTACAGACAAAAATCTCAAAGCAACATGACACTGTGCCAAACTCCCACAGACCTTCAGACCTCACTCAGGTAGGCTTCCACAAAGAAGAAGGTCTTCCAAGAACTCTGGTGCAAGCCCTGCCCTCCCAATCTAACATTTCCAGGTGCCATTCTACAGTATATGCATTTACAGTATATTTTACAGTATGCAGCTTGTAGGTAGCACCTGCTGTAACAGCCGATACTCATATTTAACATCAACTACAAAGAAATCTTAACATTCATACAGACCCCACAGAAGAAAACGAGAAGGCTTTGTTAAGCTGTGCAGTTGTTGCTTGTACTGATGTCACTGTAGAAGAAGTCACAGCTGTAACTGTTTTTACTGTCCCTTGTCCTGTAAGTTACAAGAACAAGCATTACAAAAAAGAAAAAAAGCACCCTGTCATTCAACTATCAGAAAAGGAAGGAATAGTTTGCACACACAGTCTGCAGTTTTCTCAATTGGAAGCAAAGTTTTTTTGCCACTTATACCAGGTCTGATAT